CCCCCCCGTCACCAAAAAAATTTTGGTCAGTGTATCATTTTAGGGGTCAAAAATTTTTTTCGGACATACCAAAATTTTCCGTGAAGCCAAAAATTTTTCCGAATATCTTAAATTTTCGCCATTTCTTCAAAATATTTTTAAACCTTAAATACTTAAATACGCCCACTAATGTAAAGACTGTAAACATAATTGCTTCATTTGATAATGCATTGACTTTTCCCTACTGTGCCGGTGCAATCGTTAAATAACAAGCTTATAAAGATTTGCGAGACCCGTACATGGTCATATAGACAATTAGACATTGCTCTGTGCCCTATGGTATGTGATCGTATTAAATCTATGATCTATGTGATCGTAATAATCATGATATTTGCTGTGTTGGTGTAATGTACTCAGGTGAATAAGATGCTTGTGATGTTACTCTGAGTGTGGAGTAGAGTAACATCACAAGCATCTTATTCACCTGAGTACATTACACCAACACAGAAAATATCAGTACTAATTAATGTTAAACAAAGCAGCAATAACTAAAAATATTATACTTACTGTACCCTGTGTTTGAACGTTGAATTTGTTTTCTTCCATTTGATGCTGGCTCAACACTGAAAGAGCAATGACTTGCATTGCTGTACAGTGTACAGCGAATCCCGAAAAAAAATCAGTATGATGGATATTTTCGCTATAACTATCACGTAATACATGTACTATTTAAAGCTTGAAAAATTACTTGTGTAGATTGACCCAAAACATACCAAACTGTTTACATTTGTACTGTTGGGATTTGCTTAATTAAATCTGGTATTAACCTCCTTTAATTAATATACTGACTACTGTACTTTTAAACTAAAGATAATGAACTGTGTTGTTATTAGTTTTGTTATTAGTGTTGTTAGTTATGTTGTTATTATAACTAGAAGTTTTCTTTGAATTTAATTAATTAGACATACTGTAATTGCATTCATATTTATCTATTTTGACAATCAACTAAATATTAAAATACATACTGAATTTCAGCATCACTGAAATTGCATGCATGCATGCATATTCTTTTTCAAACTAATCAAAATCCATACCTGATTATCAGTTAATGAACCTGTAACGTACAGTATAAATGGAAAACCGGAAAAACCACTATTAAACCAAACTCTCTTAGATGAAAAGTGTGAGCTGGTTTCAGCATCTCCCTAATTCTTGTTGGCGTTTGCACCAAGGACGCTACAAAATTAATATGCCTGCTGTCTTTTTAAAAAGCAGTATGGCTTTCAAAATATACTAGAGGTCAGAGGCCAGTGTAAACCGTAGTCTGGCAAACTGTGAATGCAAGCAGATTCTTGTCGCGATATTGTAAGCTGATATTGGCACTACCCACCCCAATTATATAAATTCCATAAATGGTGGTTTTTTGCCAGCTATTAGTGACCTTAAGCAATCG